GTATTTGGTTATGTTTTATTGATGTTAATTCAAATGAAGCGTAAGAATTTGATATATTACAAAAGTTGAATTTAATCAATAAATGCTCTAGATACAACATAATGGTAATATTATCATTTTTCATCATTCATCATAATCATATAGTCAAACAATATGGTTTCATGTGGACTCAGTCCGAAATTCTAACTTAATCAACAACTATTAAACGACTTCATCAATAGTAAAGTTGATAAACATTATTTGAGCATATTGATTGTTATCCTTTTACTACTTAAATTATTTTGTGTTACTTTATATTATACATAAAACCATGACTCAGCAGGCCTTATACCGACCCCTTATATTTTTGAAATATAAACTACGGCCTAGACCGACCCCTTATATTTTTGAAATATAAACTACCCCAGGGGACCTCATCATTGGCAATAGTAGTAAAGGAAAGAACAGGACTTGAAGTGAAGTGCTATTTAGAGAATAGAAGTGTGTAATATTCATTTTCTTTTGTGTTAGACTAAATTTTGAACATGTTTGTTTTGTTGTATTGGATTTTTTTATTTGATGGTTGAAAGAATGTATTATAAAATTTGCGCTTTATATATGTAGCATGAAATTAGGATATTACATTAGTCATCAGTGAGTCTAATGAAAACGATTAATATATCAATGTATCAATTAGCAGAACTAGCTCACCATAATTTTTTTTTTTTTTAAACCTTTGAATAAGTAATTTAACTTTAATAATTAATTTAAAATCAAAGAATAAAATTAAAACATATGGATGAATTACCTTCGAAATAACTTACAATACGTAAGACATAACAACGTCGGAATCTTCAACATTAATTCACACGGAAGAGATCGAAGAATCGTTATATAATCTGAAAAGAATAAATAACAACAATTTATCCTAAACTAGTTAGACAAGGTAAACCAGACCCCACTTCGAGTTCATAATCACACTTTGAGTTGATAATCACATGATATGTAAACCAAAAACTCCATAATTCAAAAAAAGAGACTTACGGTTAGTTATGTTCCAATAGGTTTTGTTTAGTTTTCTCCAACATCTCAAGATCGCATATTCATAGGGGCAACCTAAAAAATATCATTTTTATATTTATAAATAATCAAAAACCCCTTTTAGAAAAACAAAAATCCCTTAAAAAAAATACCCAACCAACCCTTTAAAATAATAATAATAATAATAATAAATCAACTAACGAGAGCTAGTGAAAAAGATTGAAAGAAGGGAGTGACGAGAATAAAGAAAGGGCGAGTAGAAAATGAAGAAGGTTTCCATTATAAAGAAGCATGACCCTCTCTTTCTTTTGTAATTTGCACAATGTGGGATCAATAAACACTTTTCTTTGCAATTTTTTTGTCCGGGGGATGGAAGAAGTTAAATATTCCACTTATCATGTTTGTCATAAAGATTTTGATGAATCCGACAAGTGGGTGATCAATGGGAATGAAGAATAAGTGATTACCTTGAGAGAGAAGATGGAGATTGAGAAGCCAAAGTTGAGACAGAAAGAAGTTGAATAATGTCAAGAATGGAGCTATTGGTATTGATGGAGAGATAGGTGTTTGTAATGATGGTATTAAGCTGAGTGGAACAAAGAATGGGATTGATTTGAAGGCACCTGAGAAAATTTCTTCTCAGGTGAGCTTGAAACATATGGGAAGATTGTTGATGGTTTGAAGGCCAATGAGAAAAGAGAATGCCAATAAGGAAGCGCATGCATCTATTTCCACATCTTCACAAAAATCCAAGTTTAAAGAAACATATTCTTGCAGATCACTACTACTTGATAGAAGCTTGATGTACCATGTTTATAACCCTATTCGTTGATGTAGTTGAAACCTTGTTTATATGTGATTTTTCAATAACACAAGAAACACATCTCCAAATTCTCTCTACACACCGAATCCCTAAAGCATCCATTACACATGAAATTTTTTATTTTTATTTTTTTCAAGACCTGTTATCTTAAAACTCATGAAATAGGCATATTACAAATGAATAATACATGTATTCCACCAAATACAACAATTTTATGTCCGTCTGAATTCTGATTGAGAGCTTACTTAAACTTAACCAAAAAAAAAAAAAAAAAAAACATATTCATAATTTGATTTCCAAAGTCAAATAATAAAATGACTAGTGATAACTAAAAGAATATTTTGTAGGAAGGAGCCTCCGGTTGATGAATCCACATATACAACCAAAACCAATAATGTAATTTCCAATTTCCAGTTATCAGGCAACTGCCGACACAGCTTCAATTGCACTCCCTAAAGGCCAAGCAGCTTCCACCAATGAATTTTGGTACTCAACCTTTTTCACCAGTGTAATCTCTTGCCATGGATCCAAATCTGTCCAAAAAAAAAAACACAATTAGATGAATTTCATTAATTTGCATTTATAAAAAAGAGTGACTTACCAAATCCATTCACAAGTAGGGTATACTGATACACAAGATCCATGCATAAATAGGGTAAATTAGATGGTTCCACATGAGGATATGTAGATTTCCCATCCTCGATTGTTGTTTCACATGCCCTCTTAGCCGCATCCTCAAAGTCAGCTGGTCTTACTTTGGCAACCGGTTTACTTGCATCCACAAAACCAGCCTACATTTTAACAGATCACTGGTGAATACGTGAACATAATTTATAAATTTTAGTAAATTACATTTTTGGTCCTTGAATTTAGCTTATTTTTGTAATTTTCTTCCCAAAAAGTTTTTACTTGCAATTTTAGTCACCTATTTCAGGTTCTATTAACATATTTGCTCCTTGTTCCAAAAAAGTAACAATTTTTGGTCCCTGAGTATATAGCTGATTTTTGCAATTTTGGTCCCAAAGAGTTTTTCCTTGCAATCTTGAGTTTCTTGCAACACATTTGGTCCTTGTTCCAAATAAAGTGACAATTTTTTGTCACTAAGTATAGCTAATTTTTGCAATTTTGGTCCCCAAAAGGTTTTCCTTGCAATTTGGGTCCTTATTTGAGGTTCTTGTAACACATTTGGTCCTTGTTCCAAATAAATTGGCGATTTTTAGTCCCTGAGTTTAGCAAATTTTTGCAATTTGTGTGGTTCTTGTAACACATTTGGTCCTTGTTACAAATAAAATGACTATTTTTTGTCCTTGAGTATAGATGTTTTTGCAATTTTGGTCCTTATTTGAGGTTCTTGTAACACATTTGGTCTCTGTTTCAAATATATTCAATATTTTTGGTCCCTAAATATAGCAGAATTTAGCAATTTTGGTTCTTACTTGAGGCTCTTGTAACCTATTTGGTCCTTGTTCCAAATAAAATGACTATTTTGGTCCCAAAATAGCTGATTTTTAAAATCTTGGTCCTTATTTGAGATTCTTGTAACATATCTAGTCCTTGTTCCAAATAAAATAACAATTTTTGGTCCTTGAGTCTTAGCTAATTTTTGCAATTTTGGTACTTACTCAAGGTTCTTGTAACATATTTGGTCCTTGTTCGAAATAAAATGACTTTTTGGTCCCTATGTATAGCTGATTTTCACAATTTTGATCCCAAAAATATTGTCATTTTACTCGAAACACGGACCAAAAACATACAAAAACCTCAAATAAGGACCAAAATTCAAAAACTCAGCTATACTCAGGGACCAGAAATGTACTCTATGAAATATGTGAGGATGTTTTATAAATATATGAGTTAATACCTCAGCAGCACGATCAAAAAAGAAAGAAGCCACAAAAAGGTTTTTTTGACCATCACCACCACCACCATTCCATACACCATTAAAAGTGCATTTCATGTGAGTGCAAGTCGAGTCATTGCTTTTAAGTGCTTTTAATGCTTCTTCCCTGCATTTGTTCATGTTTGAACCAGATGAAGGTGATGAAACCTTGTAATCGATTCCCGCGTATGAGTAAACACCTAAAATAACAAAATGAATAAAAGTTATGCAAAAAAAAACAAGAGGTGAAGCAACTTGTCTGTTTAATATGATGGAATGGAATCACAAAGCTCCATTCCATTCCCGCTTTGATTACTGCATAACAAACACTAACAAAGAATATTGACATCAACATACCATTATATCCAGCCAAGATACATGGATTCTCAGAATCTTTATTCACTCCAAGAATCTCAGCTCGAGCAGCTAATAATCCATACTTCAAGTAACTGTAGGATGATATAAGAAAATTAAGTAAAAACTATCTCTCTGTGTGTGTATGTGTGTGAAAAAAGGGATGAATTAAACCTGTGAACATAAAGGTAATATTTGGTTCCCATGAGAAACATTTCTTTTACATATTTATCCTCTCCATTTGATATTCTTGGAGCCTTTGCAGCATCTGCCTCTGAAATAGCATATGCCATTTGTACTGATCCACCACCAAGATCAACCACCCCAACAGTGTGTGAATATTTCTGACCTAATCTTTTTAATAGATAATTTATAGTCACCTGTAGGCATGAATGCATGATCAAACATCATTTGGGATTACATTAGTCATCCATTTGGGAGGATGTAAAAAATATAAAGTATAAAGTAAGTAGCTTACCCATTGATAAGCACCTTCTTGAGTTCCATCAAGAACAGTTACCCAATCATCACTGGACTTTAGGTTGCTCTTAACTTTTAGAAAATCTTTCACCTATATGAACGTAAATTCTAAAAGACATTAATACGATATAAGAATCATCTGGAATGAGGAAATTTCAAAAGGGGATAGAAGAGTAATATTTACAGATTGTAAAATTCTTTCAGATGCATCAACTCCCAACTGTCTTAGACCTGCAGTTGCCTACATAGAGATGTATGTATTGGGTATATAAGCATATAGATTTTACAAAATACAAAAGTATGCCTAGAGAAATACAAACCACTAACCCCAACTTTGACTGGTGTATTTTGGCGCTTATTTGCTGGAACAGCAACTTCTGCTTTCTGTAAAAGAGGCTGAAGGGAATCTGCAGCTGCTTTAGGGTCACTTGCAAATGCACTCAGACCTGGTTTCAGCTACATTATAAAAGTATCAATCGAAATCTTAGTACTATTCATACAGCAGGAAAATTTAGAATGTCAATAACAACTGAAAGCAAACTTTTATCTCTTTCTCAAGGCTATAGAAAATTGGCTTAAAAGAGAGTAAAGCATGTTTCTTTGTTGTCGGGAATCGAAACTCCCCATTTGCATTCAAATTAGTAACTACTTTTCTTTGGATTTACTTGGTTGTATATCAGTTTGAGCATCATAACTAGTACAAGATAGAGCTAGTAGATGTGCATTCACAGAAACTAAGACACAAGGATTAACAGTGTTTTTATTGTAACTTACTCTAACTGCAGGATGCCAAATGCTATATGCACTAAAATGGAAGCAGGGGGGCACTACTACTTTCGATTCTTTACACATTATCTCTATTTGCTCATTGGTACAATAGTATCTATTTCAATTTCTAAACGAAACTACAGTATACTTACTGATACTAACTGCATATATCTGTTGATGAATCTATAGCAATTGCGAACCAAAGTAATAGATTATACAATAAGATTATGCATAGAGGTCAAAGAAATTGACCCTTGAAGTACCTGCTCAAAAAGCTCAAGTTCTTTGCCAATGTGTACAAGATCCAAATTCTTATCAAAACAGAAGACATGAACTCTACTCCCCGAACTGCCAGCATCAAAAATCACGGCATATCTAGTCGATGACGGATCCGTTTGTAGCACGTAATTTGGCGAAAACTTGCGGTTTGCAGGCAAAACACCATCACTGGGAGTGCGCGCAGCAGGCATCAGAAACAAAACGAAAGAGATGAGGAGGAGAGGTATCGAAATGACCAAAATGGCCCCGCGGTAGCGATGAACTTTGTCGGAGAGGGACTCATTGTACTGCGGTTGACGGTTGCGTTTGAGCATTTTGTCAAGTTGATCCGCCAACGGTGGCGTGGAAAAGACCTGGCCTTCAAGGAGCTCAGCGGCCGAAGGAGATCGATACCGGATCTGGCCGTTTCCGGCTGCGGCTGCTGAAGGAGGCTTCAAAGACTGATGAGAATTCTCCTGTGAGGACTCCAGCTCTTCTCAATTTGAAATATACACGCTTTTACGATTCAAATTACCGGATCAATCGATCGAATCTCAGATCGACCAATTCACTCAACGAAGTCGCAATCACAAAAGAAAACGAGAGCAAATCGAATTTACAACTACATGAAATCAAAGATTGATCGGAGAAGAACAATGCCGTCGTGCTTCTCTCTCTAGAAAGCTTTTTTCCGATCCCAGATTTGGTCGAGCAGTATTTTGGGCGTGTTAACTATGGAGTATTTTAAGTTCAGCAAAGGCACCGAAGCCTTTACGTAATTAGGACAAAATGCACACTTTGATTAATTATAAAGTTTTAAAATTAAGTTAATTGTATTATTTTATTTTAATTATTAGTATTATATAAAATCTAAATGACAATTATTTTTGTCAAGTTGTTTTTTTATATATTTTTTTAGATCTCATAAATGTTTATACTTTGAAACTATATCAAAATGTATTTTTTTTGTATTATTGTATGAATATAAAATCAATCTGTATTTATTTATATACGTACTTTTGGCAAAGTATTCAAACTTCTATCATATGAAAGTTTGGTAAAAATTCATCTTTTTAGCTTACACATGTGATTTTGGTACCAAACTAAGGGTTTGACCATGTTAGGAGACTTTGAATCCTGATTTAACTCGTTTGGTAACTATTTTATTTTTTTTATGTTTTTAAGAATATTAACAATAATCATAAGATACTATTTAATTTTAGGGGGATTCACTGGGAGAGTAAACCATATGTTTTACCTTAATTTTAAGTAGAAGACGGAACAACATGTATCAGTCATGTATAAAAACTATAATGTTAGAACTTTTTTGAATGGTAATTTTATAATAAGGGCATCATGAATTTGATATGTAAACACAATTACCTTATTGAAAAATGTTCCATTTGTATTTATAAATGATGGTTATTGTAAATCTATTATAATCGTGACGTGTTAAAATATTTTTTTACGCCATCTTCTTCTCAAGTTTTTTTACGTCATCTTCATCATATCGTTCATGTACAAAGACTGTAATGTTAGAACTTTTTTGGAAGTTAATTTTTATAACAGGGGTATCATGATATGTAAACACAATTTCCATACATGTGTATTTACAAATGATGGTTATGGTAAATCTATTATAATTCTGAAATGTTAACTTTTTTATGCCCTCTTCTTGAGTTTTTTAAGGAATAAAATGGAGGGGAAAGAATGAACCGGAGAGTTTCTATCTTTTTCTTTTTTTTCCCTTCTTTTCCCTTGTAATCATTCCAAAAATTGGAGGAAATGTTTCTTACAGAACAAGCTTTTCTTTCCTTTTATTTTCTACATATGTTATTCTCTTTTCTTCTCTTCTCCTCCTTAAAAAAAAATTAAAAACACTTATTTCCTCCCATTTTCTTCTTTGAAAACTCGAGAACATGGCGTGTTGCAAAAAAGAAAACAATATTCCCAAGTCGAATATTAATAAAAAATTATAACATTAAGTAAATTATCTATTTGTTATTGACCATAGTTGACTTCGCAATTTTCGACTTAATTTTTGTAATTTTTGTCGGTATTTGAAATTTATGTAACATTTTTGTTCCCCTTTTTCAAGAAAGTGACTATTTTTTGGACCAAAATTAGTTATACTAAGGAAAAGTGGTCATTTTACTTAAAACAAGATCAAAACACCAAAAAAATACTAGGGGTGGCAAATATGTACCATGGAAAACCAACCAACATGTGTACCAACGGAACCAATTATGTTGGTAGTCAATATGTTTGGTAGCCAACATGTTTGGTTGGTAGTACCGTACCAATTAATTAATAATGATACGGTAATGGTACAAGGTTTTAAATGTCACGGTATTACCGTACCAACCAAGTTATTTTTCATATATATAAAGTGTTGCATATTTTAACTTTAAATGTATTTGACGGTTAAGAGTTCAAGTGCTTTGATATTAGCATTTACCTTCTAGTAGCTTTTAAAGTTTAAACTCATATTAACATATCACATTTACTCTATTGTTTAGTTTAAACTCATGGTACAAAATTATAAAATATTTTTTGTATCGAATTTCCAATCCAACCATTCAGAAAACTTTTATTTACAAAACCTACATGTATCTTTTAAGTTTACAATAACACATAAATCTTAATTCCTAAAACACCCATACATGTTGGTATATACCATTATCAACATGTACCAACCGAACTTACCGGTAGCCAATTAAGTTGGTACTAACTGTACTTGGTACGGTAGTGGTAACTAAAACTACATACCAATTATAATTTGTACGGTACACGGTTTGAGGAAAAAATACCCGGTACCGTACCAATTCCACCCCTAAAAAATACACCTAATACAAAGACCAAAATTGTAATAAAAACATTTTGAGACTAAAATTACAAATATCAGTTATACCATTAAAGGTGTAACTTAATTTTATTTATATTAAAGAAATAAAAGTAAAAAGTATGTGTTATCAAACTAGATTTTGATGTATCATACATGGAAGTAATAAATTTTGCGGAAATGGATAATTTGACATTTTCGGTGAAATTGCTATCAAATTTTGAGATATATTTTTTTTTTGTATTTTAAGCACATATTAAATCTTTATATGCATCTAAAGCCAAATCTGTCGTGGTTGTTGTCACACCCCCAAACCAGAACGGCGGAAACGTTCGGGGGCGGAGGACGTCATGTTCAGTATCATAACAATACACAATAGTAAAACAAGCAACAACATCATCCATTGCATTAATAATATAGTTAATACAAGTGTGTTCTGAATTTATTTGTAAGACACCAAAAATATATATATCAAAATAAAAGACGAGTCTTGAACATGCTCCGTCTTCTCAAAAACCTGGTCCAGTGTACCGTCTACTGGTGACCTGAAAATACAAGTTATTTTGAAAGAGTAGATCAGCATTTAAGCTGGTGAGTTCATAAGTATTTTAGTGTCAAATGTTTGTATAAGTTCGATGAAAATGTTTGTAAGTGTTTGATGTAAAGTTTGTAGGTGTTTGATCTAAATGTTTGTATACTTCCTAGAAAATCCTATATTTTCTACTAAAATGGAGAGTAATCTTCTACCAAGACCCCAACTGTTCTGTATATTTGTTCTTTTGTAAAAGTGAGTGTTTTCCCAAGTATATGACTATCATTACCAGAAAATAGTTTACATTA